GTATTGTATACACGTTTCTACGTTTGTATGTCTATTTCTGTGCCTATATAGATATTTGTGTATATGTATATGTATACATGTATTCAGATGTACATTTATGTACATTTTAATATACAGCGACACCCCATATCGCTCTAAGCACGAAGCCGCATACTCGGTCGCTTCACGGAGCTGCACAGGCGCTTTCCAAACTTTATGTTGTTCTTGCGCAGCCACTTCCTTAGCTTGTGATCCTGGCTGGCGGACGGCTTACTACAGGCATCAGTCGTAATGATTCTTGTTTCAAGGGGTCTTTACGGAGGTAGGATTCTTGTATGATGCATCTTTACTAGAAGCTCCTCACCAGAAGGGGTCCTTATCCAGTATCCCTTATTTGAGGCAGCATGCTTCATGATCCCATGCTAAGGCATCCGGGCGAAGGAGTCGTTACCCAAAGACTTTCCCACAGACTGAGTACCAAGGGCTCCGTGCTGAAGGAGCGGGCCCTCGGTGACGCGGAACGCCGTGTAGGTTTGTTTTGTTGGTCTTGTCTGCTCTGGGAAGCATCGAAGCAGTGTTCTGTCGGGGAAGTATCGAGGCAGTGCCTTTTTTGGGGGGGTGGGGGGGGGGAGGGCTCCTTGGTTCTGGAAGTTCAAGTTCTCACCGCGGCCTCCCCCCAGCACCCCTCCTGTGCGCTTCCAGAGCCACAAGAGCCACACAGAAACAGTGTTGGGCGCCCTCGGCGCAACGACACGCGGTGCATGCTTGTTTTTGGACGGTCGAGGAGGTAGCGAAGCACTGTGCACGCTTGTTGTTAGGGGGAGGGGAGGGTCGCGGCGACACTTGGGCTCCCCAGCATCGCGCTTCGCTGTTCTCCAGACCGGAACAGACGAGCAAAGCAAACATACACAGCGTTTCGTGTCACGGAGGGCCCGCTCCTTCAGTAAGGGGCCTTTGGTATTATTTGTTCTGTCTAAAGGATCCCTTTAGTCAGGACTCCTTCGCCAGGGTGCATGTCATATGTGATCGTCAGTAGGGTATCATGTAGGAAGGGGTACTGAGTAAGGACACCTTCTGTTCAGGAGTTTCTAGGAAGGAAACCTTTTATTGAGGGATCGTTCGTAATATCCCTTGAGAGGAAGACTCCCTAGGAGAGAGTCCTGTAGTAAGCCGTTCGTCGGCGAGGATCACAAGCTAAGGGCGAAACGATTGTGCAGCTTCGCGAAGCGACCGGTTATGCGAGCGTGTTGGAGGGTTGCTTGGGGGGACCACCAAGCATATGTATGTATACACACCTATACGACCAACCTTCGGGTGATAAGGAGGTTGTGGGGGGGGAGAGGGGGGGGAACCAACATCTGACTCAATCGATCTCACTATCGATCTCACTCAATGGGACACTACGGGACACCACGGGACACCTCGGGACACCACGGGTCACCACGGGACACCTCGGGGCACCACATCGATCTCAGTATCGATCTCACTATCGATCTCACTCAACGGGACACCACGGGACACCACGGGGCACCTGTCGATCTCACTATCGATCTCACTCAACGGGACACTACGGGACACCACGGGACACCTCGGGGCACCTCATCGATCTCAGTATCGATCTCACTATCGATCTCACGATCGATCTCACTCAACGGGACACCACGGGACCACAGGACACCACGGGACACCAGCGGGACACCAGCGGGACACCGCGCGGCACCGGCCGCCGGAGGAGCAACATTTGGCTGGGCCGCGGCCCAGCTACAGGAGGGTTTCGGGACACCAGCGGGACACTGGCGGAACACCGTGCGGCACCTGCCGCCAGAGGAGCAACATTTGGTCCGGCCGCGGCCCAGCCACAGAAGGATTTCTTCTCGCCCGCCCACGCAGCTTCGCCTCGCCCGCACGCACGCACGGCACGCACGACACGAACCCGAAACCGAAATCGATTTCCCTGTAGGGGGGGTCTCCATTTCACGTCGGACTCACCCCCCAACTTCCGAGATGTATATCTGTACACACACCACGCGCGCCCTTCGCGCGCGCTGAGGTTCTAGCCGCGCCCACGCCACTCACATCATACATTGCGAATGTCCAAGTGTCAAATGCAAAGGACATTATTGTAAATTTTTGTCGCCTGATGCTCACCCCATACCTACAATCCATCTCGCGACCCCATATACATGTACCTATCCGACCACCCTTCGGGTGATTAGGAGGTTCGGGGGGGGGGAGGAACCAACGGCTCATTCGATCGGACTCACTATCGATCTCACTTTCGATCTCACTATCGGTCTCGCTCGATCGATCTCACTCGATCGATCTCACAATCGATCTCACTCGATCTATTTCGTTCGATCGATCTCACAATCGATCTGACTATCGATCTCACAATCGATCTCACTATCGATCTCACGATCGATCTCACATTCGGTCTCACTATCGATCTAATTATCGATATCACAATCGATCTCACAAACAACATCATCATCAACATCATCGTCATCAACGTCATAACATCATCATCATCATCGGGACCATCATCATCATCACCACCTCATCACCATCATCATCAACATCAGCATCATCACCATGATGATCATCATCATCATCATCGGGACACCACCATCGTCACCATCATCATCATCATCATCATCATCATCATCATCAACATCGTCCTCATCGGGACACCATCATCATTATCAGCATCGGAACAACACCATCATCATCATCACCTCATCATCATCATGAACAACATCATCAACATCATCATTGGGACACCATCATCATCAGCAACATCATCATCATCAACCTTATCATCATCGGGACACCATCATCATCGTCACCATCATCATCATCACCATCATCATCATCATCGGGACACCAGCATCATCATCAACATCAGCATCATCATCATCAACATCGTTACCGGGACACCATCATCAAAATCATCATCATCATCATCATCATCATCATCATCATCATCATCATCGGGACACCATCATCGTCATCATCATCATCATCAACAGCATCATCATCGGGACACCACCATCGTCATGACCATCATCATCATCATCATCAACAGCATCATCATCAACCTCATCATCACCATCATCATCGGGACACCATCATCATCATGATCATCATCATCAACATCAACATCATCTCATCATCTTATCATCATCATCATGATCATCATCACCATCATCATCATCGGGACACCATCATCATCAGCACCATCAGCATCCTCAACATCATCATCATCATCGGGGCACCATCATCATCACCACAAAGGCCATCATCATCATCATCATCATCATCATCATCATCCTGATCACCATCATCATCAACATCGTCAGCATCATCATCATCATCATCATCATCACCAGGACACCATCATCATCACCACCATCACCATCATCATCCACATCATCGACATCATCATCATCACCAACAGCATCATCATCATCATCATCATCATCACCATCACCATCATCATCATCATCATCATCATCATCATCATCATCATCATCATCATCATCATCATCATCATCATCATCGGGACACCGACGGGACACCCGCGGGACACCTGCGGGACACCGCGCGGCACCGGACGCCGGAAGGAAATCATTTGGTCCGGCCGCGCCTCAGCCGGAGGCGGGACACCGGCGGGACACCGCGCGGCACGGGTTGCCGGAAGGGAATCATTTTGTCCAGACGCGCCTCAGCCACAGAGGCCGCCCAAGACGGCCCGAGAGGCCTCCAAGAGCACCCCCAAAAGGGCCCGAAGAGGCAAAAATCGTCCCATTCCCTTCGGGAAACGTACGACTTTAGCATAGACGGTTTTTCGGCCCTCACGGCGTCGAAGACGGCCCAAGAAGCCCCCAATATTGCCCCAAGACAGCCCACGAGGCCCCCAAGAGGGCCCAAAGACGGCCCAGGAGAGTCCCAAGACGGCCCAAGAGGCGCCCAAAACAGGCCAAGACGGCAACAAGAGGGGCCCACGGGTGCGCTTTCCATCCGGCCCCCTCGGGCTTCAGAGACAGTTCCACGAGGAACGGTTCCCTGGGGCGCAATTCAGCAGCATGCCAGGGGAGCCCCAAGAAGGGCCCAACAGGGGGAACCCGAACTCACACGTCGACCCTGCCCTGAAGACGGCCCCCCTAACAGACAGCAGGGCCCCGAGAGATTTCCAATTTGCCCCCCAGGAGCACCCGAGGGGCCCCCCAAACACCACCCAGAAGCATCTGGAGACTCCCATGCAGGCTCCAAACTCGACCAAAGACTTCCGAGAGGCGTCCCACGAGACACCACACAAATTGTCAAAGAGGCCTCCAGCCTACGACCAAGCGCGGCGGCGGGTTAGGCCAAATGCCAGTGGGCATACACATATACACATGGATATATATATATATATAGACATACATATACATACATATACATGCATACATGTACCGGAGGTGAGGGGGTGAGATCGAACGAAGTGGAACGGAGAGCCCCCCTACCGGGAAATCGGTTTCGGTTTCGTGTTCGTACGTGCCGTGCGTGCGGGCGAGGCGAAGCTGCGTGGGCGGGCGAGAAGAAAGTCTCCTGTGGCCATCTTGGGGCTATCTTGGGCGTCTTGGAGCGATCGTTCGGCGATTGGGGGCCCTTGTGTGCCATCTTGGGGCAATCTTGGGCCCTCCTGTCCTGTTTTGGAACGATCCGGGCGCTCCAAAAGTCGCCCTGGCGCCCAATCCCCCACACTTGTGGTCGGGGGGCTGGCCCAGGCCCCCCCAGTCCCGGTCCCCCGCTATGTATATGTATGTATATGTATGTATATGTATATATATATACATATATAGATGTCAATGTATATATATATATATATATATATATATATATACCGTGATGTATCTACACATGCACACGTGTATGTCTACCTGTACAGAAGTATGTCCCTTTCTTCCCTCTCTCTCTATCTCTCTCTCTCACACTTTTTGCTCTCTCTATTGTTTGTCGGACCCTCGCGCGCCGAAGAGGCGAAGCGCAACAAGGATCTCACGGCGAGGCTGGCGTCCTGCAGCGAGGGTTGCCCTTAGAGATGTTTGACGAGGAGGAGGAGGAAGAGGAGGAGGAGGAGGAGCAGGAGGAGTAGGAGCAGGATGAGTTGGAGGATGATGATGATGAGGAGGAGGAGGATGAGAAGGAGTTAAAGGAGGAGGAGGAGAAGGAGGAGGAGGAGGAGGAAGAGGAGGAGGGACACGACGAGGGGGAGCGGGGGGGGGGAATGAGGAGGATGCCCAGACATGCTCGCGTCGTCACCTCGACGAACGACGCGATGGTGGGGTGCATCGCTTCTGCAGTCGACCTCCGACTCGCAACGCCCGAAGAGGGACGCCTGTAGAGGAAACAAAAGCGGCAGAAACATAAACTGTTGGCGGTCCGCGCTGATTCCTTGGATCTGCATTGGGACCCCCCGGCGCCTCTGGCCCCGCCTTGGCGCGTTCCGCGCGCCAGGCAGGGGGGGTCCAGTTCAGATGCAAGAAATCCGCGCGGACCGTCAACAGTTTATGTTTATGCAGCTTTTTGTTCCTCTGGAGGCGTCCCCCTTCGGGCGTTTCGAGTCGGAGATCGACTGCAGAATCGATTCACCCCACAATCGAGTCGTTCGTCGAGTTTGCGAAAAATGCGCCCACGGTGGGGGCGTTCGCAGTGGCAACGTGCTTGGCAGATTGAATCGTGGACGCGTTTGGCATGCGTATGTCGCGAGTTGTGTCCTCTGGTTCGCTGTTGCACGCGTTTGGCGTGTCTACTCTAAAGGAGGCTGGGGCAAAGGCGAGAGATATCGAGCTTTTGTCCGCGGCCGCTTGTCCTCAAGCGGCCGGCCGCCGACATATGACTGCGCCTCATTGCGAGGCACCCTACTCCCCATCGAGACCGAAAACATCTTCGCTTGACATGGCCCGTCGCTCCCGCGACGATATCCTGCTTCTGGGACTCTCGTTACGACAGTACAACAGAGTTGGATATGGGTTTCGCCTTAGGTGAAGCTGCTGGTTGGGCCTCCCAATCCCCTTCAAATTTGTAGCGGAGATGGCCTATGGTGGTCAGCTCTTGCTCTACTCCTCACCATCCACGGCGCTATCTGGTGGACTACTGACATCGTGGAGCGTCAGGGTGCAGTGGGTCTGCGCGGAGGAATGTACATAACTAGCGCAGAACCGCAAGGACACTTGCAGTGCTACTTCCCATGCATGGTAACATGCGATACGACGTCGTGCTGTTTCCACCCGCGCGCAGGCTAACGATAACACACCGCAACCCCCAGCCACGAACGTCCGATCACCTCCTAAGGAGCCACTGGATTGGTATTAATATCTTTGGCCTCCTGTGGGTCGCTATCGGATGTGCTGTGGGACGCATGCAGCGTGGCGGAGACGACTCGCGAACAACCGGCCCCCATTGGGACCCTGCCTGTAATCCATCTTTCCGCGAATTCGCTCGAGAAGCGCACGCTTGGATCAACGTGACCACGCGCACCGTGACCCCATCCCAGCAGGCCGCGGCACTACAGCGCGGTTTGGGAGGGCTCGCAAGGACCATGGCCATGGGAGTCCCCCCCGCAGTCATTAACTTTGGCGTGAATATTGATGACCGCCGCACCGATGACGTCACCTACATCATGTTCCTCGTCAGCACGAAGGTTGAAAATCTAGAGGAGGAGCGCCAACTCAACTCGGGAACACCTCTCATCGACTTTCGGGTCCATACGGGAGAACGGATCGACCAGACGTTAGCACGCTTTGAAACAGTCCGCTTCGAGGCCGAGACCGCAGGCTTCAATGCCCCCAACTTCCGAATCTTAGCAGTTATTCTGTACAGGGTTTTGGGAGTGGGTACGTCGCGTGCACAACATCTACTACGACCACCCAGCCACCAAATGCCAAGGACCCAGCAACAGTTTGATTTTCTACTAGAACGCATGAGGTCATATGCTCACATCGCCGAGCGACCCCCTGGCAACATTGGTGGTAGATTTAGCCACGGTCATCGCACCGAAACCTTTCATACTGATGCCAAAGCACTGCAACCTGCTACAAACGTCTAGAGCGATGATCCACAACCAACAGAAGCCACCACCTTATTAGCCCAGCATGGTGGCCAGTCTATGGGGTCGCAAGATTCCTGGGCTCGATACCAGAGGCCGTCGGCAACGGCGGCCCCTGCTCAAGCCACTGCCCTTGTAGGATCAGCGGGGCAGCCCGCCGAGTCTGACTTCGACTCTGGAACAGACGCCGGCACGTCATCAGATGACGGAACTGGTGCCCTAGATTATTCCGACATGCCTTCGTCTCTCACAGAAGAGCAACAGGCGCAATGGTTATTTCTAGGATGCCAGAAACACAAACGTCGTTGGAGACGCTTTATGAAGAAACCAGTTCGTAAGATACGACGTGCTATCCGACGGGCGTTCAAAACAAAGGGTATGGGTCGAGGCAAGGGTAAAGGCAAACGACGGCGACTACATGGCAGAGGTATGTTGGCATTCTGGCACCCCTTACTTGACCGCAATATGAAGAACTATTTCTGAGGGCAGGTAGAGGCCATAGGCGCACCTCAGGGAAAAGGTTAAGGGACGTCGGGGTATCCCGAAAAATGCCAACGGCAAAACCATGGAATGTGATATCTGCCATGGCACGCAACATATCCGTCGTGAGTGCCCCCAAGGCGATGGGGGAGGCAGGGGTCCGTCGATACATTTGGCGTAAACCGATTTGGACATGCAGTATGTCGATTGGGAGACGTTATTAGCCGAACCCGAAGACACCCCCACTTCCGTTGTCCACTTCATGGCCGCCATATATGTAAGTGCCAGCGTGTCCCTCGAGAGATGCGCCGGCGAGCTCTTCGAGGGGATCTACGTTGGCCACGGCGAGATCAAGCTGGTGGACTGGTAGGGCATTCCCGTTGCGGGGCAACCTGCGCAGATCGAGTTCGTCGGGGATTTCCACGCGCTCGCCGATTCGGACCGCGATTTGGCGGGGGCACCCGCGGACTCTGATGCTGCAGTGCCAGCGACAGATGAGGAGATGCAGTTCATGCTCCATCCGCAAGTCATTGGTAATCCGATATGCAGAAATTCGTGCGACGACGCCCCCCTGCGGGGAAGCCCGCGAAATCCTGGTGACCCTTCCGATCTCGGGCATAACGAAGACCATCACTTTATGTTCGTGACACATGACTGGTCTACGAGGCCGCCCAGTTTGGAGACCGATGATTCGCGAATATGACGACGAAGATGAGTGGGGGGCCGAGAGTCGTTGCCCGCAGCGTCACGGTCGGAGTTGCTCGCGTGGGCACTCGCGTGATCACTCTAGTGGCGCGCAGAGCCCACGCCCTTCTGACGCAGGGATCCCAAGGGCTCCACCGAGAAGGGGCCGCTCGCGAGGAAGCCCGCCTCAGGAAGAGGATCGGCCAGGTGGGCCCGAAGTCCCAGGCGCGCAGCGCCTCGACAGTTACGGAGATCATGGGCCGGCTCGCCAGTGCATTTCGCCAAGGGCCATGCAGCGCTGGCTCGACCAACGATGGGCCGAGCATTGCATCCGCCACTGGCACTCACATTGCAATGTTACGCGGGGTGATGATGGCGAGATTGTCCGTGCCAGCGGAGGCAGCGGTGCCGGGGCGGCCCCCGCGCTTGAAAATAGGGACCTAGGAAGGGCCATCATTCAGGACCGAGAAGATTACCGGTGCCTTGTCTGCACCTGTGAGCGTTTTGCAGGCCGCAGACCCGCGCGTCCGATGGGGCGACCATCAAGGAGCCCTAACTTTGAGAAAACACCGTGGGTCTGGTCTCATGGAGATGGTTTGGGTCGCAAGGTGGGCCCGACCAACCATCCTCCTGAAGAATGTTTGACCAAATCCGATTGCCGGCCGATCGCCGAGGCCGAGGCGAAACTGGTTGAGCGAAGTTGGCAGAACCTCGATAGCAATCACCGCCTCAAGAGATGCAATCGAGAATCTCATGAAAATGTGGCTGAGGCATCGCGCGCGGGGCAACCCGCTTCTCCCCATGGAGGTGCTGGCCCGCCGGAGGGCGATGCAGGGGCTGGCGACCCTGGCCTTGCTGAAGCAGTTGGCCCTGCAGTCGCTGCCCCTCATGACTCAGAGTGCGCCTGCGAGACTGAAAGCGACGATCAAACGGATATAGAAACAGGCGCTTCCAGGAATATTACAGCAGACATGGATCTTGCCCCAGGTATGACAGTTTCGTGCCATGGCAGGAGTGCGGGCTGGATATCCAGCATCGTGCGCAGAAGAGTTGACGCTGATCGATGCGATCTGGATTGCAAGCTTGGGGCCGATACCAAGCGCATGGCAAGGCGAGCCAGCAGCCCATGATGCGGGGGGCCCGCGGCATCATCAAATGCGGGGGCGCCCGAAGAAGAAGCCCCCAAAGAAGAAGTCCGAGAAGGATGTCGATCTATCCCCGACTCCGAGCGCGCCAAGGTCACCAACTCCTCCACCAGCTAAACACAGGAAATGGACCGGTTCAGCTGGCGCTGACCCTGGGCGCTACAAGTCGCAAAGATCTGTTGGGGAACTCGCTTGCAGACGGCGCTCCAGGGGGCCGGAAGTGGCCGCGGCAGCAGCGGCGTTCCATGGCAGCAGCGCGCCCGCGCCGAAGGACCCCGCATTCTTGCGCTGCCCGACTCGTGACAGGATCCATGGGGGAACTGGCTGGGAGCCGTCGCTGGGCGGCGCGTCCAGGGGAATCTCCTCGCAGCGCGACGCGGGCGATAAAGGTGCTGCAGACTCCCTCGGAAGCGCAGGGAGCTGCCCCCGCGATCGCTGGACGCCAATGCGACGACAGTCGCGAGAAAGGGAAGGCATCTGGGGGCGCTAGCTCATCTGCAGCGCCCGCCGCGGCTGCTCTTGCAAAGACACCTGCTGAACGAGTCGCTGCTCCCGCGGGGCAACCCGCCGCTGCGCTTGAACTGGCTGAAGGAAGCAGGCGGTTCTGGGAGACCCTGTTAACCGTTGACCAGATGATGGTCAACCCAGCTC